CTAGGAGGCACATGATGGCTAATCTTAATTGTCAAATTGACCAGATTCAGAATCACCATGGACATACCTCTAGGACAAAAACTAAAAAGATTTCATTGAAGAGTACAGATCCATCCTGAATGTGGCAGCACCATCTCAAATGCTGGAGTCTCTGAGTGAAAAGGAAGAGAGCTCAATAGACGGTGATGGTGCACGCCTATAATCCCAGCATTCAGGAGGCAGAAGCAGGAGGACCTCTGTGAGTTTAATCCTAGCCTGTTTTACAGAGTGAGTTCCAAGACAGCCAGGGCTATTACACAGAGAAACCGTGTCTTGAAAAACCAAAAAGGAAGGAAGGAAGGAAGGAAGGAAGGAAGGAAGGAAGGAAGGAAGGAAGCAAGGAAGGAAGCAAGGAAGGAAGGAAGGGAGGAGAAGGATGAAAGCTGAGTACCAGTGTACATCTCTCTCTGCAGCCTGGCTGTGGAAGCAGTATGAACATCTATCTACCTCATGCTCCTGCTGCCATGCCTTCACCATGATGGACTATATCCCTTCTTAAACCATATATATCTTTCCTTCCTTAAGTTGGCTTTTGTCAGACATTTCATCACAGAATAGGAACTAATACAGCAGTCATGTCCATAGAATCTGAGGCTAGAAAGAGCTTGGTATATTCTGGATATTGAAGAAAGACCATAGTGGCTGGGGCTGACAGGTGAGGGACTAGAGATATGAGATGGAATAGACAACAATCCAGATCCTGTACGGTCTGTAAGGCATCTCAAGTAGTTGAATTTCATTCTTAATAGACTGGGAAGCTACTGAAGGCTTTTTAACAGGATTGACCTTTTGAGGTTGTAATATAATTGTCATTTCTTCCTTCCCTTTCCTCCCTCCAAACTCTCCCATATACCCTTTCCTGCTCTCTTTCAAATTCTACTTGATTTAATATACACACTAAAATTACTTGTTGCATGGAGTTGGGTGGGGCTACCAAGACAAAGGAATAGAAGTGTGGAGACCAGGTGAGAGGTTGGTGCCAATTGACAAATAATGTTGATAGCTGTGAAGATGGGAAGAAGGATATAATTTAGTTATAGAATTGACATATATGTTGATGAATTATACAGATATTGAGGGAATAGTTTCTACCTTAAGCAGTTCAAAGGATAGTGGCATGATTTATTGAAGTGGGAAAGAAAGACTAGGTTACTAAAAAGGAAAGAGAGGTATTCCTTCCTTGGTCCAATGAACCACAATTATGACCACCTAAATAGTTAGTTACCCAATGAAATGGGAAGCCATTCAGTTCAACAGATTGATTAAACACATACCATATACAGGGTCTATGGTACATACTGAGGATACAGAGGATTAAAAGACCCATCATTTACTCAAAGAGCTTGCAGCCCAGCAGGAAAGACAAACATATAAACAGACAGCTTCAATAGGCTGTGTTAAATGCTCGGAAGCACGCACAAAGTCTGTAAAGTCACAGAAGAGAGCCAATTAGTCTGACTTGGGCTGGAGAATGGGTTAGAGGTCAGGAAAGATGTTGTAAACATGATGTCTGAGCTGAAGACTGAAATGAGTATTAGCCAGGAAAATGTGTGAAAACAAAGGAAATGAAGGAAACGAAGATCGAAAGGCTCAGAACAGTGAAACATGCTGATGCATTTAGGAAACTACAAACAACACACTATTCCTAGAACATAGATTTGAAGATAGAAAATAATAGGAAATAAGACTGCATGCATGATATTGGCAGCAGCTGACAATTAGCAAGCACTTAAATGTCAGGCACCATGCTAGGTGTCTTACATGGCCATCTTAATCCTCACAATTATAACGCAAGTAGGAAATGGAGACAGGGATACTGGATACTTGGCTCAGAGTTTCACAGTATCAAAGTTGAGATTCAATCCAAGCAGTTTAGCTCTTAACCACAGTAAATCTCAAATGTCATGTTAAAGGACTGTGACTGTACCTGTTAGCAAGGCTGAGTCATAGAAGGGCAGTGACGTGGTCAGATCTGTGTTCCAGTGAGATGACTCAGGATGATTTAAAGAGGCCCCACTGTCTGGAGACAGTTGCAATATATCAGGGAAGTGGGGGAAAGAACTTGAAGTAGGGATGGAAATGAAGAAAAGATTTAAGAAATGTTTAGGAGGTTTCATTAGCACAACTTGGTGATTAATTGAATTCTAGGGGCAAAGGAGAGGGAGAAATCTAGACTGTCACCATGTTTTCTGCTTTGGGTAACTGGATGATGTGACTATATAATGAATGTAAGGAAGAGCACTTAAAAGCAAGGCATTTTTTCATGCCAAGTACTAGTGCCAGTAAGACGCCCAGAGGATTCAGGGATAGGTCATGACTGGGTGTAGATCTGAATAGTGAGAGCTTGTGAGAGGTAGTTCCAATCATGAGGGTGAACACAATTATCCATGGTACTGTGGGAAAGGGGGACCATAGGGCCAATGAGAGAATTGTGTATTTGTTCATTAAGAAACCATTAAAAACAAACCCACAAGGGAAATTTTGAAAAATGGAATCACAAACATAAATACTATATATATCACAGTGAGACTCTGTTGTGGGCCCTGCCTCTTACCTCTGCTTAAACCTCTGTTTGAGGTTTAAATAGAAACCTCATGCATGTAAATTGCTTGATAAACAATATTGGGCAAGTAACTGATGAGAATGGGAGAGGAAGGTGAGCCAAGCCAAGCAAGGGAGCCAGAAGAAGCCTGGATAATGGGTCTCAAGTTGGATCCATACGTGGGTGTAGTTTTCTTTAATGGAGGCAGAAGAATCTGAAGGATATGCTGTTGGGAGGCCCCAGAGCTCTGGTAGGGACAGAGCTTGAGCTCAGAGAAAGAAGTAACAGAGAGAGCATGGGGAAAGGACTTTTGAAGTCAGGCAGATCTGAATTTGAATTTTGATAGTAAATAGTTATGTGATTCAAGGCAAGTTCCTTGAAGGCTGCAAGCTTCTGTTTCCTCATCTTGGGAGTATAGTAACAGGGGTTACTGGCACATGGACACGCTTCAAGAAGCTGTTGGTCCCCTTTTCTCCCACTCAGCACTTACTGAATACCTAATATGAAATTTTCTTTTCTGGGGACACTGAAATAAATGCCAATTGGACTCCTTTCATGAACTCATGAACCAAAAGAACACAAAAATATAAGTTGCGATGTAAAGTAAATAGATGAGTTCCCTTCACATTGCCAACTACAATACACGTGGTGTTATAAGAGCCATGACAATGATGGAGTGAGGGAAGGCTTCGATGTCATGCTATTCACACCCCAGTTTTTAGTTTCTAGTGTTTCGAGAAAGTAGCGGGAAATAGGGAGATGCCATTTTAAGGGGAAACGGCACACTTCAGCTTTTATTTTCCTAGTCAGTATCCCAGGGGTGCGATGCTGAAGAGAAGGTGTTTGTCTTAAGGTAAATGACTTCTCCAGGTTTGTTAACTGAATGAAGTAAGAGGTGTTTTACATGGGTGAGAGGAATGGGAAGAGTCAAGAGTTCAAGGTCAGAGAGGGAGGTGAGATCCAGAGCCCAGGTTAATGGTCTATAATAACCTTTTCTCTAAAATCAGGAGCAAGAGAGAATAGAAAGCCAACATGGATCATTTCTTTTTTTCTTTTTTTTTTGTCTTTGCAGATTTTTTTATTTGAATTAGAAACAAGATTGTTTTGCATGTCAATCCCAGTTCCCTTCTCCCTCCCATCCCCCCCTACCACCACCACCCCAACTAAAACCCTACCTATCACATATCTTTTCTCCTCCCACTGGATGGTGAGGCCTTCCATAGGGTGTCATCAGAGTCTATTGTATCCTTTGGGATAGGGCCTAGGCCCACCCCTGTGTGTCTTGGCTCAGGGAGTATTCCTCTATGTGGAATGGGCTCCCAAAGTCCACACCTATGCTAGGGATAAGTACTGATCACTACAGGAGGTACTGTAGATTTCCGAGGTTTCCTCACTAAAACCCAACATGGATCATTTCTATCAGAAGGAAAAGTAATCGACTTTTCAAATTGCAATCTGTGTCCATTTTTCTTGGCTTTTATAAACCAAGAATGTTTCTTTACTATGTTTCCCCCAAATGAGTGGAGTCTGGCCAGGCAGTGGTGGTGCATGCATGACTTTAACCCCAGCACTCAGGAGGCAGAAAGGCAGATCTCTGTGTGTTCCATGCCAACTTGGTCTCCAGAGCAAGTTCCAGGACAGCCAAGGCCAAACAGAAAAATCCTGTCTCAGAAAAACGTGAGTGCAACCTGGAGAGGAGATTCCTCCAATTGATGATGCTGACAACTTAGCAAGGTGGAAGCAGCAATAATAACATTCTCAACCCCTCAGCTGGGCACCTGGACACCAGAGGCACTGAGTGCTGCAGCAGGTGACCCAGGGAGCAGCAACTACGGCATGCTTGCTTTCATCATCAGAGTTTACCTGGTTCCTAGATACCCTTCCCATCCCAGTCTTCCTACTCATGCCCCAGAAAGTGATTTTCCAGCCCAAATTTTACCCTCTCAGTATAGGAGAGTTGGCAGCCTATGCTTTAAAAGATCCAAAAGTGTTTGGCAGTATCATATTCTGTTCTGACCTTTGGGGCCAGCAAGCACCTCCTCTTTTTAGGACAATATCCCACAGTTACATCTCAGAAGCATGCACTTCCATGAAAGACACCTAAAATAAAGCTTCCTGGCTTTTGTATAGAAGAAACATCTCTTTCTCCCACTTAGTACCATAGCAGGAGACAGATTCAAACCCTGGCAGCGCACCAATTGCTCTGCGCTTCACATTTCACCATTTAATAAAATCAGAGGAATTGGTTGGAAAACATTTTAGAGACTTTCACTTGCTTGCCAGTTAACTTCTTCTGCTCTAAGTACATGCCAGGGAGCAAAATTTCAATACAAATTTAAACCAGACTCCTTCTCCATTTACTATTAATTAAAAAAATAGCCAGGTAGGCATGGTAGCACATGCCTATAATTCCAGCCCTAGGAAAGCTGAGGCAGGAGTGTGAGTTTGAAGCCAGCTGTGACTGTGTCATGAGACCCTTTCCTAAATCAAATGCTGGCCTTGTAAATTTTCTATCTTCAGGGAGGAGATCCCCAAGAAGGAAGAATATCCCTTTAAGAAGATGGGATTCTTCCGAGGTGAGAAAAATAAAATGTATCCTTAGAGAAGTACGAGGGAATGAGAAAATGAGGAAACCCTGTCTCTTTAAAGGGAATTAGCAGACCTCACTGGAAAAGTGAGAAATACACCTACTATGTACATGTTACTTTGCTAGATTCTTTCACAGACTTTAATTCATTTAACCCTATAACATCCTTGCATTCTCCATCTGTAAAAGAAAAATCCCTAAATCCCCCATGGTCCAGTAGCTACTGAGTGAGTACTATACTAGATGGAATAAGAGAAACTCAGCAAGGCTAAGTGAACAATGCTTCTGTTGCACCCATTTTGCAACTAGCATATTTATTGCATTTAATGTTCACTGTATCTGTAGGCCGCCTTTTTTATTCCAGGAGTAACTTCAGAACTCACATTTACCTCTTGCTTTGACTCATTCACTCTTTCTCTCATTCATTCAAATTCTGAGAGGTTATCTCCCAGACCACTCACTTCTTTAGCTAATGAACCACCAACCTTATTTTTTTTCTACTCATTTGTTGGTTCATTAGTTCAACCAACAGTCATTCATTCCATGATTACAATATGTCAGCACTCCCCCACTATAAAACCAGAAGTGAAGACCCAGTTCCTACACTGGGAATATTCAGAATTGGTGGGGGGTGGGGGAGACACAGAACTGTTAGTTTAAAACTTAACATAGAGGGCAGTGACAGACCTGACTTTTGGCAGCCTGAGTTTATGAAGTTGTACAGGCAGAGGCAGCAGAATATATAAAAATAACAAAATTGTAAACATAAAATTAGGTACAAGTGGGTATTTAGGATGAAAAAAAACCCCACAATAATATGAAAGCTCTAAAAAGCTAAAAGTTGCTATAAACATCACAAAATCCAAAATAATTACATGTTTTATTAATTAAATGTATGATACATCTATGCTACTTTTTCCTACTGTTTTGTGCTCTAATCACATCTACAACTCACAATAATTTTCTAATCTTGTGTTATAAAGAATAGCATCCCAGCACTTGGGAGGTGGGACGGGGGATTAGGAGTTCAAGGCTAGCTTTGGCTACATAGTTTAATTTGAGGGCAGCCTGGACTACAAGGGACCTGTTGTAAAACAAAACAAGTCAAGAATAGATAATTTAATGGATCCTTATGTCAGATTATTTTTCTGCTGCTGTAACAGAATAGCATAAATGAGATCATGTATAAACAATATAATTTGGCTTACAGTTTTGGAGGTTGAAGGGTCCAACAGCATGATTCCATCATCTGGCAAGGGTCTTTGTTTTATGATTCATGATAACGTGGCAGAAGGACAAGTGAACATAAGAAAGAAAGAAAGACAAAAGTTAGGCTGAACTCATCTGTTTTATCATGAACCCACTCCAATTCTAACTAGCCCACTGACACAGTAATGTTACAGTCCTTTAGCAACCAACTGCCCTCGCAATACTATTAAAATTAAAGGATATTTAAACCATAGTAACTCCTACCACGTGTGTGCTAGTCAGTTCTGTGATGTTTTGACAAAACATCTGAGATAAGCAACTTAAAATGGGGAAAGGTACATTTTGGCTCATCATTTTAAACAAAAAATTTCATTCTATAGCTAACAAACACATAAAAACAATTATAAATCTGTTATTTGCACACAGTATATAAACTATTAACTTGTGAAAACAACACTATTATATGGAAGTGGATGGAAATAAGCAAGAACAAAGTTGGTCTGAAAGCGAGATTGTAATCAATTTAGGATGTTAAATGTAATACTCATGGTACATGGTAAAAATGTACAAAATTTACCAAAATGATTTTCTACAAAAAATAAACTATTACAACTGTAATGGAAAACATGAAAGATAAAACTAGGTAGAAGATATAGAGAAAACAAATCCTTCCTAATCAACAAACAAAATAAATATAGTTAAATTAAAGTTTCTCCAATCAAAAGACAGAAATTTGAAGAATACATTTTTGTTTAAATATTAAATAATACTGGGTCTGATGATATACACATTTAATCCCAGCAGACAAGATACGTGGGCAGTTGGATCTCTGTGAGTTCAAGGCCAGTCTGGTCTACATAACAATTTCAAGCCAGCCAGGCATATATAGTGAGACCCTGTCTCAAAATGAAAAAAATCTAAATATATTTTGCTTACAAAACATCCATTTCTAGATCCAATGATGCAATTAGTTTAAAGTGGCAAAGAAGAAAAAGGTATTTCATACCAATGGTAACCTCAAAGAGCTATAGTATTGAGTGCTCACTGCAGAGTTCATCAAATGTATTTATATCAAGTGGGCCAACCTGCTTAGGGTTTTTCTTTCAACTGCATGGGAAATGTTTGTAATCCTTATTTTCCCAAATAAAGCTACAAGATGCCTTTTGCTTGTGGTGCTTTATTTAAATTTCAAATAATTGCATTAGGCTCCTAACTGTTATATTGCTAAGTATATATAGGTCTAAACATAACAAGGGAAGAGTAAGACAAATGCATTCAGATTGGTGATTTGTGTCTTCTGTGTCCCCTCCAACCTGTCATTTCAGACTCCGTATACTTTGAGACTATTTCTCAAAGAATATAAAGTTATTTAAACCATAAAAAAGAGCTATAGTATCTAACCTAATGTCAGACAAATAGCATTTACATAAAAATTGTTAGGAAAAACAAAGACAAACATTGCGTACTAATAAGAAGATCAATTCATTGAGAAGATCTAACAGTTCTATATACTAAACAATGGTGCCTTGACATATATAAAGCAAACAGTGGTATAATTGGAGAGAAGTAGTTATATAATACTTGAAAACTGCAATCCACTATTTCAATAATGGAGAGATTATTTCCCACAATAGATATGTGTTAAGTCAAAACAAGTACCAGTACATTTTAACAGATTTCAGATCAGGAGCTAAGGATGTAGCTTAGTGACAGAGTGCCTGTCAAGCATGTATGAGGCCCTGGCTGTGGAAAGGAAGGATTAAGAAATGCCATGTACAGAATACATGGAATAAAGCTTTTTAAAGCCTTTTACAAATCAACAACAGAAGGAAAAGAGAAAACTCTTACAAATTTCTTTAAACACCACATTTTTAAACAACCAATAGATGAGTCTAAACAGAAATCACCAAGGAAAGTAGAAAATATCCTGGGATGAATGAAAACAGAAGCATAATATACCAGCAGTTATGAAACTCTGCAAGAACTGTGCTCAAATCAATAATCTGCCTGATTTTGCAATATAAAAGCTAGAAAAAGAAAACTAAATCTCAAGTTAACAGAAGGGGGTTTAAGATTAGAATGGAGGAAAACGCAGTAGAAACTAAAAAGAAATAGAATTAGTAAAACTAAATTTTGTTTCTTTGAAAAAAATTCCAGCTTGAGTGACATAAGAAATATGCAAATAACTAAAATCAGAAAATATTGATCTGGGGTGGGAGAGATAACTGAAAGACCAGACTTCAGTTCTTAGCACCCACATCAGAAGGCTCACAACCACATGGAAATACAGTGTCAGGGAATATGGTACCTTCTTTTGTCCTCCATTCATATCCACATAACCATAATCAGACACACATACATACATATAAATAAATAAATAAATAAATAAATAAATAAATAAATAAATCTTTTTAATAGTTATTAATCTTACATAGATGAACAGTATATGATAAAATGTTATTAACAATTGTGAGCTAACAAATTGGATACTCTGAATGGAATGGACAATTATCTAGACACAAATTACCACAGAAGATATATAAATTTTGTTTTATACAAAATAAAATGTACTCCTCAGATGTACGTTTATTACTTTTCTCATAGCTGTGAGCCAATATCTGACAGGAACCAACTTATGAGAGGAAGGATTCATTTTGGTCCACAGTTTGTAACAGGAAAGATAACTCCAGGTTGGAACAGCACATGACTGTCAGTAGGAGGGTAAGGTAACAATTCAAATGGTGTGAGCAGTCAGGTAACAGTGCTCTCACAGGAACTAAGCCATAACACAACCCCTCTGGTCACCCAGTTTCTCCAGCTAGGACCTGCCTCCTAAATGTTCCAGGCAGGCGGATCTCTATGCATTCAAGGCCAGCCTGATCTAAATAGTAACTTTTCCAGATATAGTGAAAACATATCTGGAAAAAAATACTAACACAAATACTTAAGTGCCAATTTTATAGATCATTATTCACAATAGCCACAAACAACTCAAATGTCTATCAAGAAATGAGCAGATAAAGAAAATGTGATGTTAGTATGGGATTAAATAATATCTCAACACTAAAAAAGAGTAAAGTTTTGATTACTATAACACAGATAAACCTTTAAAACATTACAATAACTAAAGCAAAGCAGGCACAAAACTCCAAATAATGACTCCACTTCTATGTCTTTATCTACAGCAGACAGATTCATGAAGATAGGATGTAGATTAGAGATCACCAGAGGCTGGGAAAGGGAGCACTGTGGGGAATAGTCGTTAGTGGATATGACACTTTTTTGGGAAGTTATGGGAAAATCTAATGAATAGTGATGATGTTTGCACAACATTGAAACATACTGTGAATTATACACTTAAGATGGTTACAATGACATACTTTATGTTTTATATATTTTAGCAAAATAATATAAAAATGACCAAATCTTTTTTTAAGTGAAGCATATCATGATACATCAAACAAAACCCACCAATAATAAAGAAGAAAATCAAACAAGGTGTATTCTCTAGCCAAAATTAAATCGATCAGAAAATCAATGAAGAAAGAATAGTCTTTAAATACTAACAAACCAAAGAATACACTTCTAAATAACCCATGGGTCTAAGAGATTTTTGAAGTACATTAAACTGAACTAAAAAAAAATATACTATGTCAAAATTTGTAAAGTGCAGCTAAAACAATACTGAGCAATTTATAACATTAGATCTTTTATTGAAAAGGGGATAGTCTCCCATTAATAATTTTAAACATCATCCTTAACATACTGGAAAAGAAGAACAAATAAACCCGACACAGGTATAAGGAAAGAAATCATAGACAAGGAATAAATGAAACAGAAAACAAGAATAAGAAGAATAAACTTGGTGAAATAAAAGTGCTTCCCTGGAAAAATCCACTAAATTGATAAATCTGTGGTGAGGCTGATGAAGAAAAAAGCAGAAGACACAAATTAGGAATGAAAGAGGGTACTATCACAGAGCCTGCAGACACCAGAACACTGTCAACACAGCAAACTACTCTGCATGCACACACCTGGCAACTTAGATGAAATGGACTAAATCTGCACAAAACATAAACTACCATAATTCACCAAATCAGAAACAATTTCAACATCTCTATTGCTTAAAGAAAGAATTTGTAACTTTTTCATCCCCCAAGGAGGCAACCCTTCAAGCCTAGACATTTTCACTGGAGATTGCTACCAAACATTTGAAGAATTCACACCAATTCTACGCAATCTTCCAGGAAATAAAAGAGGAAACACCTCCCAACTTTCTTTATTAAGGTGCTATTATCCTGACACCTAAACCAGACAAAGATAACATAGAGAAAGAAAATGAGACCAGCATCCTTTCTCTCAGCCTTGCATATCTGAAAGACACAGCAGGCTGCATCTCAGGAGCACACAAAACAGAAAGGAAAAAATAACTTTCTATTTGTAACTGACAGGATTGTGTACATAGAACATCTCAACTAATCTACAAAAACCTCCTGGAACTAATAAATGAGTTCAGGAAAGTTGCAGCTTACTTCACTATACAAAAATCAATTCTAGCTCTGCACGATAGCGCTCACCTGTAGTCCCTGCACTTGTGAAACTGGAGCAAGAGAATTGCTTGAGCCCATGAGTTTATAGCCAGTGTGGATAACACAGTGGGACCTGTCTCAAAAATGTTTTTAATTAGTTCTATATACTATCAGTGAGCATGTTTTTATGTACTATCCAAGATTTTAAATTGTTTTCATTTTACAGCTTCAGGGGTTTTTAAATTTTTTTTAGGGTTCTATGTTTATTTGTTTTGAGACAGGGTATCACTAGGTGGGCCCCACTGGCTTAGAACTCACTGTGTAGCCCCAAGCTGGTCATGAACTCACAATTCTCCTGCCTCCTAGGTGTTGGGATTGCAGGCCTGTGCTACTGCAGTATCTGTTAGCAGTAGGTTTGAATCTCAGCAAGCAGTACTAGATTTGAAAGCAAAAAACTCAATCAAGATTATTAGAAGAATTGGTGAAGCTCTCACAACATGGAGAGATGTGCTGGGTTCACAAATTGGAACCCAGCATACTAGAGAAGTTTATTTTCCAATTTTATGTATGGATTTAACACAGCTGCCGACAAAATTCTCACATGACTTTTTGATGATGTAGACAAAATTATAGCAAAACTCATTCGGAAATACAAAGGACCTAGAGTGGCTGAAACACTTTGTAAAATAAGAATAAAGTGGGAGAAATCACTCTACCAATTTTGAGACTTAATAGATAACTACAGTAATGAAGATGGTATGGTATTCAAGGAATAGACACATTAAAGTAACAGAATAAAGATCCAAGAACTAGACCCACAATAAATATAATCGAACTGGATTTTGACTAAGGTCCAAAAGCAGTTCAATGAAGGAAATCTTTTCAGTACATAGCACTGGAGCAGTTAGATATCCATCAACAAATTTGCAAAAGAAGCAAATAGATATTTGTTATGCTGTTTCTTTTGCTTTTCTATAGATTTGAGGGTTTTCCAAATTGAAAAAAAATGAGGGGAAGAGACATATAAATATATTTTAATTGTGTTAATTTGCAGGAGAAGATATACTTGGCAAGTAATCAATCAAACAATAGTCTTATCTCTTCCTTGGGCATTTCTTTCCCAGGACCAAGAAAGCTAGAACACTGAAGTTATTTGATAATCATGGACTTCGAATTGAAAGAAGCAGAATGACAAAATGTATGCACAAAAGCAGGCTTGTGCTTCTTAATTTAGTCTACTTGCTTAGGGGCCACCACATGCATGGTTACCTGGTCTTCCTGGCTCTGTTTGCTGTTGAGCCACTGCTGTGATGGAGAGAGAGATGTGGACTTCCCATCTTTATCCCTGCCTGCCCTTCTGCCCAATTATGGATAGGAGGGCCTGAACAAACAGTGACATATGTTAGCTATCTAATTATTTTTCAAATCATTTGTCCACCACCATCTCTCTGTGACATGCTATTCTTTAGCAGTTTCCAGCAAGCCAATTAGATTACAGCTTCTGCAAGTACACTCTAGTCCTGCAGGTCCACCGTGATCACTGTGATTACATGTGGGCATTTTCTAAGGTTCTATCATCAACACATTTACAGCCAAATCTTGGTGTTTTTTTTCACACTCACAGTCATTCTAGGCCTATCTCCAGATTCTGAGGTCACCCTGCAGCACTGTAGACTATGACTACCTTTGTTTTCTTTGTTCTATTTTGCCATGGCCCTGGAATAGACAGTTGTTTTTTTTCCTAACATACTCAGAATATCACCGCTTCTTTGTGCCATTGTCACTGCTCTGCAAATGTATTTTGCAAGCAGTGTGAGCTAAAGAAGGTATAATAGATAAAATGATAAAATTAGATAATTTATATAAATGTACTTTGAAAGTTAAAAGCACTGAACAAATGTAAGGGGCTAGTTTTGCTGTAATGTAGTGAGTAAAGCCAGCAACTTCATAAGAGACCAGTGTTGTAGGAAACCAGGTCAGTCTTGATAAGAGACCAGCCCTGGAAAAATCCTCAGGCTGGTCTGCTCTATGGAGTTTTGCTTCAGAGATTAGTTTTTATTAGTTTTAGGGTTTTTTGTTATGGGGTGTGTGTGTGTGTGTGTGTGTGTGTGTGTGTGTGTGTGTGTGTGTGTGTGTGTGTCTGTGTGTCTGTCTG